CTAGTTTACAGTCCTATCAGAGATATAAAACACAGGTGCATAGAAGACATAAGAAATAATATAAAATGGACTATGATCACGCAACATGTTTACCACATACGTCCTACTCATGGTAACATAGGGGCTTAGAGCTGTCCTGGCAGAATCTGAGTTCACTCATGATGCTTGCGGGAATAGTTGCACCAGACAGCAAGCAAAAGTTCCTAGATATTACACTCTGGAATTACCTTACCATTTAAATCCTTCCTGAACCCTAGATTTTTTGATGTAGCCAGACAAGAGATGCCTGGAGGAGTAGCGAAACTCCAAGTGTCTAGAATGACTACTTGTGTCCTTCCTGTCCCCTGAGTCTCCTGGACTGCCGAAGGAAATGGATGTTGACGATGGCCCACAACCCACGTTGCGGGGCTGGCTTTGCCTAGTCTGCTCTATTGTCTTGAGCTCTGTACAAACTTACATTGGTTTGGCTTCTGGGTCGATTGTGACACAGCCACCCAGGACCACGTTAAAGACTGGTGCATTGTCTCAGGTTACCCCTTTAGCTGCACCACTATTTTAACCTTTTAGGAAACTAACATGAGTTCACTGAGGAGTTGAATTCTTTCCTAATACTCTAATTCTTTATGCAGGGATCAGGGCAGCACACACAGCTCTCTAGCCTGGGAAGAATTTGAAATAAGCAGCTACATTTTCAGCAAAGTAGGAAAGCCATACTGTAGGACTCCCTTCCCCCAGGCACCTGGGAACAGCAGCCTTTTTTTCAACTCAGTAAGCTCAAGATGCCATATTACAACATCACGGCTATTTCCATTTGACTAAAGATTCTGTTCTTTGTAAAAATAAAGCAGCTTTGGGAAGTGATTACATGTCCCACAAAGAGAAATAACATGTGCAGACTTGGCTTTACTATGGGGCCATATTTACTGTTTATACTTTAGCTAGATCCACTTATTCTTTCTGTTAAAGCAGGTATCCCCTGGTCTCTGTCTCCAACATACGTGTACACACACTCACATGTACATTTTGATTTTGCCGATGGGCTGTTCAGTGCTGGTTGCCACCTCTTGTCACCATCACCTTCACCGCCTGAATCCAGCTGAGACGTTCCTTGTACATTCTTTCTGTCTGCCATGAGAGGAGGAAGACAGCCAAAAGGCACAGTGTGCTCCTGGCCATGGGAAGAAACTGAGGCTGCCCTGGTATGTTTCAGCTGCAGACTATGCCTATTCGGTTTCTAAGTTGCTAAATGAGCTGGAAATTACATACAAAGAAAGAAGTCTATGGACTGAGGATTCCAAATGAACATTTTGACTTGAGCAGTATGTTTCAAGATACTTTTTTTGTAGTGTAGAATTGTTCAGATAATTATGTTTCTGTTGATAATTGCATGGAAATATTTATGTAATTTAACAATACCATTGATTAGTTTTAATGGAATGTACACCCCCATTTCCCTAGCAGCCTTTCTCCACGGGAATATAGTTGATATATGGGGGATGCTTTCAAAAGGACTGATAGCACTACCATTTACAACAGATACTGGATATATGAAAACTGTGCATGTGTGCATGGTAAATTTTTCCTCCTCACACACACAAGACCCTACAGACATGTGCACATATATTTACATATTTCTTAATTCACCTATAGCAACACTTTACTAGATCTTGCTTTTTCATCAGTTTCTTGCTGCAGCTGTGAGGTGGGTCCCTGGCATCTGTGTGAGTCCCATTAGCTGAATTCCCATAGCTTCCACAAAGCAGGACAATTGGTTATTTTATCAGCTCCATTCAATCTCACAAAAAGATCTGCTTCGATGTGGGCTGATACTCTGAGCACTGATTTTAGACCATGGCCTGCTGCTCTATTAGCTTTTTTTTTTTTTCTGTGTACCTGAGAGCAGAACCCCGGAAAGAATAAGATGGATGGAAATACAAAGAGATTCTCAGCTCCAGTAGATGCAATGATTGTTTCACAAATTTCATTTGCAGAGAGGTCAAAAATAAGGAGCGAATACAAGCCCTAGTGGAGAAATGTAAATGTGTTGTAACAGATGCTTTTTCTATAACAGGAGGAGCCTGAACTGATAGAAACCAATATCCAACATCACCTTCACTCATCTTTTCCTTAAAAGTCAAGCTTATAGGTAGTCAGAGAGCGGCCTGCTTGTGTTTATATAATGCTTTCCAGTTTTATAAAAACATATTTTAATTTAAAAATTGATCCATAGATTCTTAACTTAGTGGCATGGTGACTACTCTTTGGTGAAATTTTAATTGGGCACGATGATCCTAATAACTAGAGTTCCCAAGACAGATGTTCTAGAACTATGAACACATTTGGTTGTTTAAATCTGCTTCTTTTCTTCCAGATCAAGTTTAACCTGTCGATGAAGAGTTAACCTGTGGCTGATGAGTCTTGGAGTGAGAGTGGTGAAGGCTTAGCTGCCTTTTTAGCTCTTCCCTCATTTTAGTACCCCAAAGTGGAGGGAGGTAGTGTTGGTTTAAGAGGCCTAACTTAGTCCTTTCTCCTGAGCACAGCTGTCACTCCCTGTTTGCAGCTTTTTTAGAATGAGAGTATTTGTGCTTCTTTATTTTGGTCAATTTAGGGCTGAAAAAAATTGAGGTAATCGTTCCCTTTGTAGAATGATTTGGGAACCTTTTCATTTCTCTATTTTTAAAATTTAGAGCTTTTTAAATAATCTGGCGTTAAAATATTTGCTCAGAGAGTCTTGTTGGAATTTGCCTTTATCGGTTTTTGGTCTGGTAATTTTTATAGAGGAAGGGATCACTCGATCTCCACCTTCAACATTCTTCTATAGTTGTTAATTAGCTTTTAGTCTCTTTTAGCCTTTTCATCTTGTTGAGGTATACTTCACATATGGTAAAGTGCAAAAGTCTTAAGCCCACATACGGATTGGTTTGTACATGTGTACAAGCACATGTAACCACCACAGCAGGAAACCGACATTTCTCACATCCCAGTAGGCTTGCTTATTCCTCTCACCAGTGGAACCATTAGTATAGTCATAACCTCTGCCACATATGTCAGTCTTGCTTGCTCTTCAGCATCTATAGATGGCATCGTTCAGTATGTACTCATTTATGTCTGGCTTCTTTTGATGTTTAGATGTCTGAGATTCATCTATTAGAGTACAAAATGTTATTTGCAACCTGAGTATGGTGGTATGCGCTGGTAATCCAGTTATCCTGCCACTTCAAAAGGCTGAGGCAGGAAGATCTGAAGTTTGATCTCTGACTGGGCAACTTAGTAACGTATGACCCTCTCTCAAAATAAAGAACAGAAAAGGGCTGGGGATGTAACTCAGTGAGAAGTCTTTGTATTCAATTCCCAGTATTGGTAAAAGAAATCATTTGCAAATATACAGGAAGTTACCAAGTATGTCATCTTTCTATCAAATCTGAGGAAAATACACAGAGACTATAACCAAAATCAAATTACTCAGAGAATTTAAGAGAAGATGAAGAGAGAGGAAACAGGTACAAAGAATGTGGTGCTTCTCCACCTGCCTCACTATAAACACCTAAATTACACAATACCAGGGCTAACACAACCACCATAGAAGACACATACTAAAATATTTCAGCGCAGCCTTGCTCAAACTGTATTATATACAAATCAACTGGGGACATTTTTATTTTTAATATTTTAATAGAAATGTAGTTTGAAAATTTCATTTTGGTGAGAACACTTAATATGAGATCTGCCTTCTTAAAATTTTAAGCAATAATACTGTGTTGTAACTGTTGGCACCATGTAGTACAGTAGATCTCTAGGATGTACTCCACTTGCACATTTTTGCCTTTTAACTTTTATATCAAAATTCAGAGTGATCACCATTACATTATCTTTATTTATCTGACTATTTGCCTTTATCAATGAGTTTTAGACTTTCTTAACCTATTACATTCTGTTTAGTCTTTCCTTCCCAACTTTAAGAAATCCTTCTCTTGTTTTTGGTTTGGAAATATCTTCATCTCACATTTGTTTCTGAAGGACAGTCTTGCTGGGTATAATATTCTTGGTTGGCAGGTTTTGTTTTTCTCTCTCTCTAGCATCTTGAATATAACATGTCATTCCTTTCCTATTTATATAATTTCTACTGAAAAAAATCTACTTGATGGTCGTTTTTTTCTTTTCATTTTTAGTTTCTCATAATAATTAATATATTGTTAATATTTGATAATGTCTTATAAACCCCGAGACTACCTTCTCTCTTTTTTATTCTTTTGGGGCAATATAATTCCTAATCATCTGCCCTTCAGTTCCCTGATCCCCCTGTTTGATCTAGTCACTTTTTAAACAGTTTTGATTTTTTAGATTTTTCAATTTAATTATTGTATCCTCTTCAGATGCATGATTTCTGTTTGGCATTTTTAAATCTCACCTGAAATTCTTACTTTGTTCATGCATTGTTCTCTTACCTCAGCTGATATTTTTGTGAGCTTCTTGAATTTTCTGTCAGGCAATTCATGTATCTGTTTCATTAGGGTCACTTTTGGAGATGTGTATTGTCCCTTGTTGAGGACGTCCTCGTCAAACTCTTCATTTTCCTTGATATTCCGTGTTGGTGTTCCTGCCTTGGACCTGATAGCGACCTCATAGATCTTTTGGACTAGCCTTGTACTGGAGAAGACGTTCACTCCGCAGTCCAGTGAGAATTTGTGGAGATCTCTCAAAGCTTTGTGCAAGCCTACACTTTATTTATTTGGAGTGGTTCATAGGCGTTTTGAATATGCTGTGTCCTATCAGTGCTCTGTGCTTGAAACTATACTGCTCAGGCAGCTTCCAGATAAGTCATTGCATATGTGGTCTATGTCTTGCCCTTCCCAAAGAGAAATTGGGAGCTGGAAGGACTTTCATTCATTCACTGTGATGAGCTAGTATGGAAGGTGTGACTATGGTGACTGCTAGCCCAAACTGCCATTCTGGTTCTAACTGTTCCTTAGCAACCAGAGTACACCATGTCTCATCAGCTAGACAGAAGCCAGTTCTCTGGATAACCCCTGGAAGGGTTGGGACACTGAACACATAGTACATCTCTTTCTTTCCCTGAGGATAATCTGTATGCTGAGGTCTTTGTCTTGATTTCATTGTGCTATGAGGGGTAGGGATTAAGGCAAGAGGGTATTTCAAATTTCCCTACTGGCTTTGATGTAGTTGGTTTTGTACTTATGTAGAGTGCAGGAGCATTTTAAATAGTTCCTGGATTTTCCTAAAGGGAATCTACACATGATTTGTTACTGGATTGTTATTTTCATGGAGACAGAGAAGGCTTTAGGGCTTCCTATGCTGGCATCTTATTCATTAGTTTGGGTATTAGCCAATTCATGTTGAACAATTCCCTGTTGACTGATAAGGGGTGAATTTGGCAACAACTGGCTCAGGCAGAATGGCTAAATATCAGGTGTGAGAGAGTTGTCTAACATTTCTGGATGTAAATAAACAATGGAGAATGTATCATGTGTACACCAGAAGGCACAGGGGAAAGCAGACCAAACACGAAGCTGGTGCAGAGAATCATAACACAGAGAGCAAGAAAGAAGGGGGTCATGATGTGTTGTGTTCACACTGTCCTTGAGTCTGCCCCAGCTCCAACATGCCTGTCATATGAGGCCATTAGCTGTGAGCGTGGATCAGATGGGTTTGATATAAAGGATGCAATGAGCCAATATCCAGTCTGAAGATTATTAATATACACTTGTCTGTTAAAAGTGGTTGTGAATGTGGCACATAGCTATGGGAAAAATCAGTGGAAAATCATGGGAAAATCAGTGTCTTTGAACCTGGAAGCATCTGAGTTCCAGGTGTAATTCCTATACTGACTAGGTGCCAGGTCTTGTGTAAGTTACCTAACCTCTCTTTGTCTCACTTGACTCAAATGTAATCAGGAAATTACATTATCTGTCAGATAGGATTTACATATTATAATGTCCCAGAGTTAATGTACATTTCACCTGGATCACTGGGAGTGGACAAAAATTGGTAGCTAGTAACGAGTACTAGTTACTGAAAGGAATATTTTTAGATCCATGTCTCATCTCTTTGATCTTTCACAGTAAAACTTTACAGAAGAGCTGTATAAAATTGCTCTGTCCAGTCATCAGGTTCAACTCTTTCCCCAGCTCACTACATTCAGGGTTTAAATCCCCTTACGAAGGGCATCCATGATTTCCACAATGCTAGGTGCAGCGAGCTCTTCTGGGTACTTCTCTCCTTCTTCATTTCAACTGCCCTCGAATCACTGACACATCTTTTGTTTTTCTTAAGTGTTTCTTAACATTCCTTCTCCCGGCTGTAAGAATACATTTTCCTAGCTTTCCTCCTATCTCTTATTGATTGCTCTTTTGCTGACTTTTCCTGTTCTACTTTCCCCTAGATATTATGATATTCCAAAGCTCAGTTGACTTTCTCTTCTTTCTTCTATAAAGTCTCTGTGTGACAATTCAGCCCAAAGCCTGAAATTCCTTTGCAATTTTATTCCTCCTTGCACTCTATGCAGTTTTCTGCTTGCTCTATTTGGTTGCTTGTTCTTCTGTCTTTATGCTTCCCAGTGCAGCCATCACGCTTCTCAGCTCAGCTAACTAATTCCCATTTAATTTCTGGAAATCCTCTTTTGTGAGTATCTTTATTAGCATAGTGCTGTCTGCTTCAGTGTCATGAATAGACTCAAAATTCTTACCTTTCGTGGTCATTTTGACTTTCAGGAAGAGCCAGAAGTTAGATGGTACCAGATCTAGTCAATATGGTAGGTGAAGATGCAATGAAATGTTTTTACTTGACAGCAATTAAACATTTTGAATGAATGCAGGACATCCACGCACCAAAAACCACTTGTAGAACTGCTTCAGAGAGTGGTGAGAATAATCGGTAAAGAATACTAGAAGTGAGGGAGAATATTTTGAGGAGGACTGATGTGTCTTTTACTATAATAAAATTTTTAAAAAACGTTTACCATATTTTCATGCACATCTCATATTACCTTTCTTTAGGGACTTCTCCAAAGGAAGCCTTCAGCCACTGTCACTCACTTCCCTGAGCTCCTAGTTCTCACCACTCTCTGCAACATCTGATTTATTCATCCGTCCCCCTCACAACTATGGTGAAAATTGCAGTAGAGCAGAAATCATGTGTTTTCTTCACCATTTCTATTGTGTAGATCAGAGTGTGGTAGCTAGGAGGTGCTCAAAAGGCTTTTTTTCCCCCAAAAGGTAATGATAGCAGTATTGTTTCACTAGCATATCTTTTGATTCAAGTTGTTGTTTCAATTCATTACCTGGTTTCACCCCCATGCTAATGAGCGAGGTAGATATTATTGCTACCATCGCTTATAAATGAGGTAAGTAATTTTGTGCCCTTTTGCCTCATACCCAGAAAGGGAAAGTATTGAGTTTTCTAAGCATCCATAGAAGAAGAAGGGCAGGGAACTTTAGTGAAATTATTTAATAGTCTGAGCTAACCATCTATGAACTTTTGCTTTTTGTTCTTAATCAAATGTTAGAAATTGAACTACACGTGTTTCCATCCTGAACACTACAAACCATTCAGAGAAAATGTTCTCCATTATTCCTGAGTCCAGATGCAAGAGGTCCATGGTAGTCAATGCTCTGTAATTAAATGAGATTTCAGGCTGAGCTTCTAATCCCTCGAGACACAGAATGTGCAGCTGTACTAATAACTTGGTCTATTACATGGAAAGCCAAGTGAGTCCTTATTTTGTTCTATGTGCGCACACATACACAAACACGTGTACATTCCCATTTCTATTTCTAAAGCCAAAAACAATCTAAACACAAGGTTCTTATTCTGTCTTTAAATATGGGAAATAATATCAGATTAAGTTAATGTAATCACCAACAGTATGTTCTATAAATTGAAAACTAATGCAGCTTTGTTCTCCAAGTCCCAGACTGCCTGAGAAATCAGAATTCCCAGGATGCCTGGCCCCACACTTTTTTGATGATAAAATACATGTACCCTACTTAGAATAAGATGCATAATTTAATATTTTATTGTGTTTGATTTATAGGCATCTTTATTCCTTAATATATCGGAGTTTTTGTGATTGAGGAAAGGACCTAATGAAAACATATTTTGTGGTTAAAGATGTAGCCCACATGTGCTGGGCTGCAATTTAAAAGGCAGGATGACTTCTCTCTGAGCCCTCACTATGCTGCCGAAAGTTCTAATCTCAGGGCATGGTTGTGAGGGCTGGAGTAGCAAGGACCGGTGTTCAGAATGTAGACTGAGAGCAATGCTTCTTTCTTACACCAAAGCTTATTCCTCAGTGAAATTTGGTATGCAAAGCCTTGAAAATGATATTAAATTTTGTCTTTTCTTGTGCTGATTGTTGAACTCAGGTCCCTGAACAAGCTAAGTACATGCTATAACATAGAACTATACTCCTGGCTCTTTTTTTTTTTTTTTTTTTAAGAAAGAGATTTTAAAGGGGTGGAGAAAATGATTAGTTTCTAATAACTTGTCAATGACTAACATTTATTGGCACCCCCCCAAGTTTTTTCTATTTTGTGGTGCTGAGGATTGAACCCAGGGCCTCACATAGGCTAGGCAACTGCTTTACTACCAAGCTACATCCCCCATTCTTTTTAAAATTTTTATTTTATTGGGAGATAAGGTCTTAGTAAATTGCCCAAGTTGGCCTCAAACTTGAGATCCTGCTGGGTCTGCTCCCAAGTAACTAGGATCATAGATGTGCACCACTGCACCTGACTTAATATCCTTCAAAATTGCTCACTTTTTATTTTCGCTGCTCTCCCTGAATCCAGGATGCTTCCAAGTCCTGCCTTCACCATCACAACAATGTAGTTTTTTATCCTGACTCAAGTCTGGCACTTCTTCTTGTCTATTGATTCTTTTCTCTGCAGCATGAATGATTTTTCTATAATATCAGTATATCTAATGACCTCATCCCACTGCTTAACACTTTAGTGTCTTCTCATCGCTCCTACAATAAAATCTAAATTTCCTTTCAGGCCTTAGGAGTCTCTGTCTGCTGACCTCTTTTCACCTCCCTCCTGCATGCACATTCCAGGTATATTCAATTCTTATCACTTTCTCAAAGGAAGTCTGCTGAGCCTTTGCTTATGGCTGGGCTTTGTCTACTCTGTTCCTAGTAATCTCCCTGTTTCTTTACCCGGCTGATTCTCACCTGGGCTTTGTTTGAGCTTAGTCCCATTCTCACCTAAACACCATCCTCCTTTCTCCCTATCTTGCTTTCCTGTGGTATTTTTCCTTCCCTACTACAGCAATTAGACTGTATTATGATTGGTTGCCCCTTAGACTAAAAGCTTCCTGAGAGCAGAAACTGTATGTACTTCTTTCTTCTATATATTCATCCTCTAGCTTGGTACCTGGCACACAGAAAAGCATGAAATAGTTACTGAATTATATTAATCCTTGCATCTTTCTGACTCACTGCCTCATATATCATAGATATCAATACCATTTTGATGAGTCAGACCCGATTGACCCATTGTGCAAATTGTCTGATAGAAAGCCCAGGGGCCTGTGGAGACACAGAGCAACACAACTAGTACATTAGGAATCATTAGGTTATTTGCTGAAAAATGGGTTTGACTGGCTGATGCTGATCAGTGACATTTGACCATGAAGAGGAATACAATAATCAGGCCATATTATGATGACTGTAATCATTTCATAGAAATTGGTGTTTAATTTTTACTTCTTTTACTTTTACTTTACATTTTTTTTTGCCTGAAAACTGCTCTAGGCTTTTGGGAGAATTACAAATTATAATCATGCTGACTATATTAATAATAACTACTAGCCAGGAATGGTTGCACATTCCTGCAATCCCAGCTATTTAGAAGGCTAATGTAGGAGGATTCCAAGTTCAAAGCCAGCCTGAGCAACTTAGCAAGACCCTGTCTCAAAATAAAATTCTAAAAGAGATGTAGCTCAGTGGTAAAGTATTTGCCCAGCATCTATAAGGCCCTGGGTTTAAAATCTCCAGTACTTAAAATAAAAACAAACACAACAACAACAACTAATAATAATAATGCTGATCAGTGACATTAGGTAAATCATGTTCTTTATGTATATTACTAATTTAATTCTTACAGTAGTTCTCTGAATTAGCTACTATTATCATTCAACTTTGTAGATAGACATCTTCAACAGAGAGGGGTTAAATAACTTGTACAAGGTCATACAACTAGAGAGTGGTAGAAACAGATTGTGAATCTCTGCTATACCTTGGATTCCATGATTTTAAGCATTGTGTTATATTGCCACTACTCTTTGCTTTGGAGATAGATGAATTTATGAGATACACAGATCCTCAGGAGTCTTTTGCCCAGGCAGCATACATAACATTTAGGAAACAAGGTCGGCCTCTTGCCCTACCTGCTGGACTTGATTTTAATAAAGCTTTGCAAGCAAGTCATAAGAGAAATGGGAGCAATTTAGAAATAAATTACTTCCATTATGCTGCAGGATCTCTATACTGTGGTATTTAGGAATTATTCACAGATGTATGTTTACAGTTAAAAATCAACTATACTGTGCTCAATTATATGAGGGGAAATGCTAGTAAACAGTTTTTAATTGGATTGAAATTAAGATAAATTTAGGATAATGAAGGAAAATGTCTTAACAGCAAGATTTATAAACTGTGTGCAAAATTCCCACTGGAAGTGAAAGAAACCCAGTATTTTCAAATGCAAAATTTACATGCTCATGAGGAAAAAATATTATGTATACAATCAATTACCATGTAGTCATGAAATTCTTTTGAACTCAGGGTATATATGGGTTGTTCAGTAGACAGATACAAGCACTTGTTGTTACAAAGTCCTATGTTAATTTCTATAGGAGATTCAGGATTCTCTAAAATTCAGTTAACAGATTTCAAGTAATTTATAATGTATTTAGTTATAGGAGTTCTCTGGTGAAGGAGCTATAAAGCTTGTTGGAAATGCAGACTCTCAGACCCAATCAAGATCTGCTGAACTAGAACATTTTTTCACAAGACCTGAGCTGAAACTGTATGCACATGAACCTTTGGAAATATTGGTCTTAATCATAAACCTGTGGTACAGAAGATTTTGCATTTTTGCAGTAATCATGTATTATAGCATCAATCTACCTTTTTAAAAGAATGGCACTGAGGATAGAACCAGGGGCCTCATGCATGCTAGGCAAGCACTATGCCAATGAGTTACATGTCCCTCTCTTTTTTATTCTAGACAGTACCTTACTAAATTGCCCAGGCTGACTTCTAACTTCTGATGCTTCTGCCTCAGCCTTGTAAGTAGCTAGTGTTACAGGTGTAAGTCATTGCATGTGGCACCATTTACATTTCTAGCATGTTTTCTCTCTCCTTCCTTCTCCAAACCATCTTTTTTAGATAACCAGTTTCTCATCATCTAACTAAAACTTGAACTTTTCCGTCTCTACTGCTTTCTGCAAAAGCTGCCCTTTACTGGATATCTTATCTGCCTTTTTTTCTGCCCGAGCCATACAGAATCATCTGCATTTCCAGGATACATATGCTGTGCTGTTTTGCATCCTCTGCCCATGTCACTGTCTCCATACCACTTGACCCAGTTGGCCAGGACTCTGCAAAGCCTCTGTGTCCTCTTCTCACTCACTCTAGTTCTTTGTGCACTTCACCTGATGATATAGTTCTAGACTACATCTCAGCTCACAGTGTAAAGGAATTATTGACACATCATTTTCCAGTACACTATTGAGATCAGAAAATAAAGGGACAAAGTGCAAGGGCCTGGGTTAACAGAGACAAGTATCAGGAAATTGGAATGCAAGGGACAAAGGGCTAATTGGAGCTCAAAGGACAAAAGACTAATAAAACCTACTGACAACAAGATGTTCTTCAGTGGCAACTGCATTCTTTCATTTTCACATATCCATCTGCCACTTTCATGTGCATATAAGCCCCTAGATTTAAACGTTCCGTGGAGTCCTCCCTTGGAACCTGCTCTTGACTAGCAACAGCTTTGTTTTTGTTCTTTTTAATAAAGCTTCTCAGTTGTTCCCCACTGCTGTCCTGTTGGCTTCATTCTTCTATTGCCTTCAAAACAAAAGCCTACAGGGAGAGAACTGGTTCCATCTTTGACATCCGACGTGGGGCTCAACTTCTCTACAGAGAGGTAAGTGTGACGGAATGGGTGGACCACATGCACACTCTTTTTGTGTCTTTTTTATATTCTAAAACTCAGTGGGCTCTCTGTCAGCCAAATAAAAGATACTAGAGCAGCTGCCACTTTCAAAGCAGAAAACAGGTTCCCCAGCAACCTTCAAGTTAATTGTCAGCCAATCCCTAGGGACAGTGTAAATGTTGGCCAGACAGAAGGATGAGCTCCTTTCTGGAAAAAGATCTCTGGATGTGTAGAACTAGTGAAAACCCAGGTGACAACTGCAAGACCTGGCTTGGGCTACTCACAGGTGGGTAGTGAAAGATCATTTGGTAGAAGCTGGGTTCTGACAGCCCACCTAGGTGTCCAGCAGATGACTTCCACTTGCTTATCATGTCCAACCTGTACTCCATGGAGTGAGAGGTTAAACCTCTTAGTGTTTTCCAGTGTCTCCTCATCCTCACAACCCTCTCATAAGCTTCCATTAAGAGTTGAGCCACAGGCTTGGGCTTTTCTCTCTTCTCCTTCAGATACGTCTTCATAGATTCACTGGCCTGGGAACAGGTTAGAATTGTAGCGCAGCACATTCTGGGCTTACTCAGTTCCTTACGTCCCAGTTGTCCAGGCCCCCACCCTAACTTTCATAGAGCCAATACCCTGGATTCCCCGATGAAGGTTTGTTAGGACCAAGGTTAAAATTAAGGGAGAGTCTCTCAGGCCATTTCTAACATTCCAACAACCTGGAAGCCAAGCTTCGCCCTACTCCAGCATCTCCTCCAGGGCTCAGGGGTAGGAGAGCTAATGTTGGAACTCACACAACTACTTTCTTCAGACTCTAGGAGAGACTGCTACTCTCTGGACAAAAGCCACTTGGTACCACCAGCCTCTCTCCTGGAGATGGGGCTAAGGGATAGCTTTCTGTTACTCCTGAGGGTGCTCAAGATTTACTGAATCCAAACCCATCTATCCACCATGAGGATCAGGCCCTGGGTACACCTTCCCAGGGTGTACGAACAAAGAGAAGTTAGAAAGAGACAGCAATAGAGTATGAAAGGGGTGCACTTTCCTCCCAATCTCTCTTATAAAGTGAAAATGCTGAGACTAGGAAAAAGCTTTCCTGTTATTTCCCTGAGGGCCTTGTCCTCTATCAAAAACAGTTTACCATAGTAGCTCTAATACAGCTTACCACAGTAACTTTGATAGAGGTGAGCCACAGACAAAGAGTAGTGGTTTGCCGTAGTAACTCTAGGGCCCTAGTGATCTGCACTGTGTGTTGGCTATTTCAAAATTAAGATAAACCATCAGCCTAACTTCTTTAGATGGTCCTAGCTTTCACAGCATAAAGGTTTTCCCCCCTTTCTTTCCTTTTCTGAATCATACTGATGTTAATTTATTAAAAGAGATCTCTGTTATGATTCAAAACAAATACAAAATAAAACAATGCTAACTGGTCACCACTAGGAAAAGTTTTGATTAGACTATTTATAGTTAAAAACCTAACACTTAACAGGTTATTATAGTTCAACTTGGCCAATACACCGAAGAATGCACTCTGATTTAAAAATAACTGTTTTGTTATTTAACAAACAAACAAACAAAAACAATTGGAGCACATTCATTGGTTAGCAAAAGAAAAGAGGTACTACTTCCCCTAGAGATGAAAAACAATGACTGACATTTTGCATAGATATCAATCACCCTAGCCAATTTCCTATCCAGATATTCCTTATACATGACTTGTTTTTCCATTTGCTCCCAATTTAATAAATATTACCTGGGTGACTATAATTGTAATCTTATTGGTTGATCAAAGTTTTATCCCACCTCATGCCTACCTTGTAATTTTCCATTGGGTCTTATAGTTTTGTCCCACTTTGCATCCACCTAACCTCATGGCTTTACCATATAAAATGCCTTTGAAAAGCAGGATGGGTGGGAAACTCATTTTCCAGCTCCCCTTCTGTGTCTTTTAGACAAAAGCTATCTTTCTCTCAATAAATTTTTCCTACTGTTCACCTCTGCTGATCTTAGAGTTCATTCTTCAATTTTAGAGACGATGAACTCATGTTTTGGATATCTAACAGGTTTGGGAGTTGTGTTTATTCCCCTTATATCACATTTACACCCTGTAAAACTGTTAAATCTAAATTCTACATTAAGTGTAAAACTAAGTAAATATATACAGAGATTTCCATACAGCTATGATGCTAATTATTACTAACCTAACTGTATTTTAAATGTATTTATATTTCCCAAGTTTATAGACCGTTAAAGATGCAAAACTGAAAAACATCTTATTGCACTGATGATTTTAAGGCTAACATTGTGGTGGTAAAACTTTTTAAAATTGTTATGCAATTGGGTCACAACAATATGTAGTTTATAGTTGCTAAGTGATATCTCCAAGCTTTTTAAACCCTCTGTGAATTTCTTTCATATGTCACAGGTCCATAGATATAAAGATATTCAGGGTAAATTTTTGAGTAAAAAATTCAGCTATTGTGCACTGCTCCATTTTTTTTTTTTTGCCTTCCTGATCTGTTGATGAAAATTAGACTAGCTATGTGCCAGAAACAAGGACACTTGTATTGGATATAAACAACAGATTTCTGTAGGAATGGCAGAGATGCCTAGACTAGTCATTAAAAGCAGCAAAATAGGCTGCAACCTAACCTTGGATGGGATGGGTTGTACATGCAGTTTGACCCCAAAATATGACAGGCAGTTCATACAGCCTGATCTCAGGGACCTACACAGGATTCCTCTTTTATATATATATTTTTCTTTCTCTTTCCAAAAGTATACAAAGGAGATCTTAAAGATACACAGTGCATTTAAATGATCATGTATAATGGGTAGCTCAGTGTCCCCAAAACATCACCTTTAGGTTTTATTTTATAAACTTGGGGCTAATTTAAAATAAAAGATTTTAAAATGTTGATTTTCTCCAAATATAAATTAAAAGAGTAAAAATACAAGGATTCAGAGGCACATCTGGCAGAAGCCAGAGGCCCACCCAGATTCAATCCTTGGGTGCACTCAGGTCCGAGTGAGAAGCCTATGTAAATCAGAGTGGAGTGGATACATGCAGGTCCCAGCCAGGGCCCCTTCCAGACCCCAGCAGCTTGGGCCAACAGGCCCAAGCCAAAGGCCTACCTGGAAAGGAGCTGCACAGGTGCACAAGCAACAGACAGAGGCCTGCTCAGATTCTGTAGGTCAGTGTGTGTTAATCCCAGTGAGAAGCCAACATGGACTAGAGCAGCACCAGTCTGCACAGACCACAGCCAGGGCCCTATCCAGACACCAGCAGCTTGGGTCCAAAGGACCCAGCCAAAGGTCAGTCTGGCAAACAGTTATGCAGGCAGGCAAGAAAAAGCCAGAGGCCCACCCAGATACCATTGGTAAGTATGTGCAGACCCCAGCCAGAGGCATGCCCAGATATCCCAAGTGTGCACAGGCCCCAGCCAGAATCCTGCTTGGAAAACTGGGCAGTGCAAAAATCCAGAAGGGCAGCATTCTGAACCAAGGAATTGGTGCAGTGGTGGGCAGCAGAGAAAAGGCCTCTCGCTGGCTTGCTGAGAATTAAAGACCACTGGGTTAGCAAAAAGTCACCTCAACAAAGCCATAGCAGGTAGCATGTATTGAAATAGGAAGACACATAAATAAGACTAAAAACCAGACTTCCAGATCACCTAGGGAAACCCCAAAGGGCAAGGAGATGGAACAATCTCATACTCAACCACCTGGTCTCTCTGAACTGGCAATGAAATAAGATCTGGAAGAAATAAAATCAGAAATAATTTCTCAGATAACATCAGAAATTGTGCCCATAGCACAAGACATGATTAAAAAATCTAGAGTGGACACAGACAAAAAAATTGAGGAGCTGAGGAACATGATGGAATCCCAACACAGGAAACAAATGGAATCCATAAAACAGATACAAACAGATTTCCAGGAGATTAAAAACCCCATTGAAAGTTTACTCAGCAGAATGAGCCAATGTGAGGAAAGAATATCAGATATGGACGATAGGATTACAAATAGAGACCAGGAAAAGAAAATTTTCTTAAAAATAGTTAGGGACCATGAGAAATCAATCCAGCAGTGCTAGATGATGCAAAGAAGAATAAATAACATAAGACTGATCAGAATCAACGAGGAAATAGGAGAGAGTGCAAACAACATTAAAAAATTTTTTTCACAAAAGTAATGGCAGAAAATTGCCCAAGCAGGGGAAAGGAACTTGATATACAGATAAGTGAGGCCTATAGGACTTCAACTAGCCATTTAAAAAAAAATCTACACCTAGGTATATAATAGTTAAGATTCTAGAAATCCAACAGAAGAACAAAATTCTATAAGCATTTGAAGAAAAGAAACAAATCACATACAAAGGAAAGCCCATCAGAATAACAGCAGACTTCTCAAAACAAACCCTCAAGGCAAGAAAAGCCTGAAAGAAAACAAGCCCTAAAAGAAAACACCCTCCAAACCAAATTGATGTACCCTGCAAAACTATCTTTCAAAATTGATGGAGAAATAAGATACTTTCATGACAAAGAGCACCTAAGGAACTTCATGAATACCAAAGTAGCACTCCAAATATTTTTAAACAATATCCTAGGAAAGTACAGCAAGGGAGACAACACCAGGAAGCCCAGCAGAATGAATCCATCAGGTAAGACAAGAAATTAAGTGCAAAGGGGGAGAATCCAACAAAAAGTAAAGGTCACAACAAGGATAAGTTGATAAACATCAGTTATAACCATCAGTGTTAATAGTCTCAACTCATCAATCAAAAGACATAGACTGGCAGAATGTGTCAAGAAGCAAGATCCAAAAATATGCTGCATATAAGAAATATAATTAATTTAAACAGAAACTCATAGATTGAAGGTTAAAGGGTGGAAAACAATACTCCATGTGATAGGAACCCCCCCCCATCAAAGCAGGAGTAGCTATCCTTTTTTGTAGGTTAAATAAATTTCAAACCAACACTAATTAAGAGAGAG